ATTATTAAAAATTCATGTACCCGTTCGGTTATCTTGGATATATAAATATAAGAACCGTTTGGATATTTAACAATAAACCAATCCACTATACAAAACATCATCTAATACCAAAAAAATAAAATAAAATAAAACAACTAATACAACAAAAAACGTAAAGAAATTCACAGAACCCCGCCCGTAGGGCGGGCCAAACCCTAGTTGTTCATATTTCTGCTGAATTGTTTTTTGTAATACTCCTATCTGAATCCTATCTGAAGCTGTTCGAAATCGAAAATAGATAAACTTATAATTAAATCGTAAAAGTTAATAAAAAATCATAAAATTCATAGAAATTTGCATAATTATAATCCAACCAAAAATATTTCACAAACTATCCAAATCTGATCCATAAAATTTAGATCTTTTTCTTAGTTACTTTCAAAAATTTTGTATGACTTAGTGTAATTGTCAATCTTGATGTAAATACACAGCTTATAAAACTTCAACTAATATAGACTATATCAATTACAAAGTTATTTGAAATTGAACTAAGCTGCACTTTTTGTTTTACAAAGTTTGGCTAGTTTTGATTGTATCTTTTACATTTGCATTATATTCTTTTATGAAGACAGTGTTATTAATTATATATTTATTAAAATTAAAAAAATAAAGATTACTTTATAGAGAAAAACTAGAGACATTATATTATATAAAATGTATTTTACATAAACTTAGTAAAATAAATAATCCTAACTCATAAACACACAATTAATCTTCAATTGGCCAGTGACAGTGGTCAAGTGAATATCATTGCAGATGTCCCAAGCTGCACATTACCAGAAACAACGGTCGCATCTCCACCGTGTTTTATATCCATCTAAGGAGACTACAAATACCGGTTCTTTTACTGTGGAGCACCAACAATTATGTGAGACGTTGGGATCTATTCTTTCCGGTAAAAACATAAGCACCTCAGGTTTTTCGTAATCCAATGGCTTGAGAATACCGAAGTCGTGATCATGTAATTAATCCGATCAACAAATTCACGACTAAAGCTAGGATAGTTGTAAACCAATCCTCTATCATCAACACTAAGCGCTAAGTTCATCATTCCATCTACATACTTGGCCAACAACAATCCTCTCTCACCAGTAAGATGGATTTTTTTTCCTTCTGTCATCAAGTAAATGGACGACGAAGAACTCATACATACTTCGCATGTAGATGGCATCTAGATTACCATATTGATAGCACCTAATCCTCGATGTCCTAACATCATTAGCCTCATCAATCTAGCCATTTAAGTTAAAGAGATTTGCAGATCGGTAGAAGTATTCTTCTCTGCCAATTTGATTAAACCCGGAGAAATCAACTCTTGCACAACCGAAGTCCTGGAGACGGCTATTTGCTACCTTCGAGAAAAACTTATGAAACATGAAAAGAGGGAGAGAAACCAAGTCAAAGTTTGACATGGAGAGATATTTTTTTAATCGAGTAAATGGAGAGATAAGTATAAGCTTCAACTGACGTGAAGATATAAGTATAAACTTCAACTGACGTGAAGAGATAAATATAAACTGAGTATGTATTAACCAAATTAAGGGTGATTTGATAGACGCCGCGAGACACACGAGTGAACAGACACGACTTCTCAGTACAACCACAAGCCATGGAATGAATTTAAAACTTTGAAAAACTTTAATCGATAAAGATATATAACTATGTAAAAGTAAGTGAAAATAAGTGATTTAGATTGTCTAAATTCATGAAACTAAGCATAATTTAACAATTTAGATTGCCTAAACATATGAAACTATGTAAATTTTTTATAAAAATTAGATTCTCTAAATGAAAATAATAATATTTAGTTTAACAAAAATCTTGTAATTAATGATTGAAGCAGTGAAAGAGATAATAAATGAAAATGATAATATTTAATTTGAGAAACATCATGTAACTAATGATTGAAGCAGTGGTGTGCCTATTTAAGGGTGAGTTGATAGGGTATCCATTTGATTGACTCCCCGAGAAAGCACAACTTCTTTCACACGCCTTCTGACTGCAACATGACTTTGTATAACTTTAATTTATTAATTTACTAAGATTTATAACTATGTATAAGTAAGTGAAACTAAATAAATTAGATTGTCAAAATTTATGAAACTAATAAAAACGTAATGATTTAGATGATATAAACATTTGAAACTATGTAAAACTTAATATATTTTAGTGGATATATTTAATGACAGAAACTAGCAGTATATGATTAATGATTTATTATCCCAATTTCAATTTTGTAGCTCCTCTATATATGAATGATTTGATGGAATCATCAAAAGAACACGACGTCTCTCATAAAAAAATCTCTTATAATAATAATTACACTTGCATTTAAACACCACCCTCAACACTACACCGTATACAATCACCAATCATCATCACCATTGCATTTAATCTCGGTCCCTTTAAACTCCACCACAGTAATTTAACATTTCTCTGCAAAACTTCACCAAAAAGAAAATCAAAGAAAAGATTCATCATCTCCTCTCTCAACAAACCAGATGACACACTACAATAAGTTTTCTGAAGTTTGTTATAATCTCAAGATCACGGCTTGGCGTTTCAGAGTCAAAATACATGTGATCTACCATTTCTATTTCTATCTTACCAGCAGTGGACCTTTCTATACCTATTTCCTAGCAGAGAAGAGGTACGTGTTAAATTATCATCTCTGAAGTTTCTAATAACAGGTAACCGTGAAAAATAAAACTTGATCTTTGTACTTTTATTTATGTAGGGAACCAAGATGAAGATGACCATTTATGGAGATTATGATAGATTTAGAGGCCTATAGAATCAAGAGGGAAAATGGATGGAAATATTTCGGGTAGAAGTTAACTGTTCCCTTCCAGGTTTCCAGGAAACTAACTCTCAGTTCTTTCTAACTGCTACACTCTGTACGCAAGTCCACATCATCGATCCTCTGAACAATCAAATTTTCATGGACTTCAAGAACATCCATGCAATCCCTCACATGGACCACATGGATCGAAACTATCTCATAGGTATGACTGCTACTAAAATTTAAATATATTCACATGCGTAGATTTATTAAACTAAGTTAAACTAAGAAAAACGTAAAACTTGTCTGGTAGATACAATGGGAGTGGTCTTCAACACAGAACCCATTTTGATGACCCTGCAAATCCAAGATGGTGTTTTACATAAGGGAAAACAAGTAAGTAGAAAGTAACATATGATCAAAGCAAAATTTATCTATAATGTAATTGACGCACCTTTGTATTCTGAATAATGACAGTCGGATAAAATGTGTGGTAACTGGCGATCATGCGTATGCCTTCCGGGATGGTCTTGAAAACATGAGAGGTCGTGGGCAGGTGGTTGTGGTCATTAAGATGTGAAGGGTCTGGAAATTTATGAGTAAGTGTAGTTTATGTCTAGTTTTAAATGTGATAGTTGAGTAAAACATTAACTAAATTCATTTATACATGTAATTTTGGTCCTGATCTATGGCTTGAGACCGAGGGTGGATTATCTGACTTCAGGTTCAATCCACGTTTTCCGGAGGTTGAGGAGTTCAGACAGTCTCTACTACGCAGTGACCCTTATGTTCAGAGATATGGGGCTGTAGGTCTTTTGTAAATCTTGTTGTTGTCAATGTTCTGCATCTTCGTACTTGTCTTAAACTTGGTGAAACTTTTTAAATGTTGGTTAAACTATGTCAAATGTTGGTGAAACTTTGTGGTTTTAACCTTTTTAATTTTTTCAACTTCTAAAAAGTGGTGAGACTTTTTTTTAAATGTTGGTGAAACTATGTCAAATTTTGGTAAAACTTTGTGGTTTTAAATTTTTCAAATTTTCAACTTCTAAAAAATATATGAACTAGAAGTTGGTTCTCGTATAATCTCGTAAAAATTTGTGTTACTTTCACTTTCTTAATTGTCCAACTTTGTAAAATTTAGACAAAGTTGAAATTCGTTTTCGTATAAATAGATCAGAATTTGGGTTAATTTCACTTTCTCAATTGTCTAACATTGCAAAAATTATGGAAACTTTTTCAAACTACATAGTTATCCAACTTTGTCATAGCTGTAGGAATTGAATTCTCTTAGGAATTACTTCTTGTACATCATAATTCCTAAAACTAAAACGACAGTAAGAACAACAAAAGCTCCTACTATCTTTATCTTGGGCATTATTTTGGACCTTCACTAAGTTCACCTTGACTCCTTATTTTTTCTTTGATAAGTTGAACTTCTTCTTCTAGCATTCGAACTTGGTAGTACAATTGTTGTATCTCATCGGTGAAAACTTCATCAACCCATTTGAAGACGTGATTGTCGTTCTCAAGCTACAACAGATTAAGCTTACCAGTTAAAAGAAAAACGAGTAAGCCTTCAATAACTAAAGCTAAACGGATGTACCCTTTGTGAAGCCGCATAGAGACACCGATAATATCGACGATATGGGTTTTGATTGCTTCTGGAGATGAGCTCGGTGGTGCTCACTCCGCACCAACACTTACTAGGTATTCCTGGAATTCGTACTCCTCTCCGACCACTGGTCATGAAAGATGAAGCAGACATCGGGGTTGGGTGGAGTTCGGTGGTTGGGAGAGAGATAAATTAGGGAAGAGAGAGGGAACTCGAAGAGAGAGAAACGAGAAGATAGTGAATGGGAAAAACCCAAAAAATTGTCTTTAATACTTTGATTACACGATTTTAGGGTTTTAGCAAATTGGGAAGAGGGAAATTATAAATTCAAAAATCTGGGTGGCAAGAGGGAAATTAAAAATTAGAAATTTTATCCAAGAATTTTCGTGGTAGAAGTTTCACCAAGTTTTTAGTTTTACAGAAAACATCAGAGTTGTACTTTTAATTATTTCTATTTATCTTAGTTATACTCTACTTGAATGACTGATTTTATAGTTATACCAATTGAATTATGTTTCTTTGGTTCATTTTTCATACGATCATGTACACATAAACTTGATTTCGTGCCATTAGCAAATTTTCAAATGTAACCAGGTGGGTATTAACAAAAAAGCTATGAGAACGCAATGTATTTTCTATATGATTGCTAACAATCAATGAGATGGAGTTTTAATAATTCTGATTAATCATAAGTATCATAAACATTAATAGTAAATCACCATCTTATTACTTCCATGACTTATTAACAATTTTAGAATTTACAATCATATTACTCAATTTTCTTATCGTAGTGATACCATTAAAAATAAATTTTCACATGGTTGTACAACACACAAAAGTAAATTTCACCTCACAACGTTCCCATACGATAAAAACATCAAAACTAAAACTGAAAGGCTTACAACCTACTTCACCTCACAATGTTTCCTCTTATGTTTCTTGTGGGGGTGTTCATCGTGTTCATTATGTTCCAAACCACTGTCCACATTCTCTTCTTCTCCATATCCACTCTCACACTCACTATAATTCCTACTACATGAGCTTTCTCAAACTCTTGATAGTTGCTTGGTTATTTAAACTATTTGCAATTCTTGGATGTCCTTCACATGAAAAATACATCTTTTTTGCTTTTTATCCACTGATTTCCTCTAACTCAATGAATGAAGGGAGTAGTATGAGGAAGGCCGGTTTTCAAGATGAAAATAAAAACAAAAAGGAAAAGGCATGTTATTTATGGCTGTTTGTTGCAGGAAGAGTTTCATCAAGAGAACAAGGCAATAAGGTATCTGCAGAAATAGGAGTAGTAGCAGTTTAGATAAACAAACACATCTTTATCATCCAAAATATATGATTGCCTCTTAGGTTCCACTATCAATGGAATGTAACCCAAATTGAGCCTCTTCATAACATATATATTCCCATCTTCTTGCATATCCTTTCCTTCAACAATGAATCAGTGATTTCCTCCAATGATGATGTCGTAAAGGATATAGCATACAAATGAGCATCGGTTGGAATCCATTCATAATTATCTCCAGCCTTCGAATAATGTCCATCATAATCAAAGTGTATATTCGTCGAAAAAGGACACATTGTCTGCAATATAAAAAATTAACCATTAAAGTTATACTTAGTTATACAGTTATACCATTAAAGTTATACTTCGTTATACCATATTACAGAGTTTTGTCAGTAATCAGCCCGTTCAATCTAACCAAATTTCAGAGTTTTAGATGTTTCTCTCAAAACCAAATAGTAATCAGCTTCTTTGATTGAT